GTCAGTCAGTAAGTCTTGGCGTCGAGCCCCATCTGGGGCTCATGACCAGATAATAATTATTACCGTTTGACAGTTACGGGCTTGTTTCTGTGGGGCGCCCTCTCTGACGAGAAGACGGGTCTGTCTTTTGTGTACGCTGCTCGTCCTTGCCAGCGCATTCTTTCTCGGGTCCGAGTCCCTTGGGACTCGCGACCATATTTTACTGTTTCAGATTTGAGATTTCCCTTTTCGTCGCCTCCTACGACTCGCAGGCTCACGGTGGAGGTATTCGAAACCGCCTCCACACGGGTGGGGACTCTAGTCTTTCGCACTGACGAATACTCCTGTTATGTAGCTTCCGCACTGACAACACAGGAAACAGTTACGTGATAGCTTTCATTGTTGCGTAACGTCGTGTTTACCGATTGCCTAGCAACAGTCGCTGCACGGGCTCCCCTGTTGCGTGACGCCGTGTTTACAAAGGCGTTGCTGGGCAACTAGCTCGCTTCGGCTTGGCTCGGCACGGCACGGACAAACACCGCTATCTTTACTGTTGCGTAATCTCGTTTCCACTGTTGCGTAACTTGGCAACCGACCGTTTATCAAGGGTCTGTCTTCGTGGTAACTCGTTCCACCTCCCATTGCCCAGCAACGGTTAGACATGTCAAAGTATCTTCAAGTTGAAGACAAAATAGATACTACTGTATCAATATTTATTTATTACGCGAAGGTGTACGTTACATATTTCTACCTTTTCTATCTGATCAACAGGCAAGTTACAACAAGAACAAAGACCTTGAATTTAGTTGTCTTAATATTTTTTTCCTTGGCACTACAGCCCCAGTGGGCCTAGGCCTACCTCCATGAACTTCTCCGTTCACTTCGATTTTTCGAGATCTTACACATTCGGTAGGACTCCTTGGACGGGTGATCAGCTCGTCGCAAGGCCTCTACCTGTAGACAAACACAGAAAAACGCACACACACAAACTAAACATCCATGCCCTGAGTGCGATTCGAACCCACGATCCCGGTTTCCAAGCGAGTGAAAACAGTACATGCCTTAGACCGTTCGGCTACCGTGACCGGCAGTTGTCTGAATATGAATTCATATTTTACAGTTTGTTGATATTATTATAGCGAATACATACTTTGCAGAATATACGCTAATAATATACGCGACGTCTTAGTGATGCGCTGTCGCTGTCTAAAATTAAAGGTAATTAAAATCTGTTATATTAGGAATTTTATTATTTAGTATTAATGAGTTTATTAACGTAACATGCCTTAAAATTAGTTCAAAAGTTATTAAAAATGTTAATAAGTCTTTAAGTAAAATAACGCGTCGAATTATATGTTTAGTTCTAATTCTAAGTCTGTTCACATGTTTACCTCTAATCACTCTGAAGGGATTTAGACTAATTTTTGTAACTGAGACGAAACTGATATTTGTCCGGCAAATTTAATTTCAGTCCACAATTATTCTATCATAATTTATACTTTAGTGAAAATGAAATATAAATTTACTTATATCTGTAAGAGTTGAGGTTTTCACGGCGGTGACTATGAAGAATGCCGTCTTCTGGGAAGTGGGGCCGTGTAGACCTTGTGTCAACCGACATTAGGGAGGAACATATCGGCTTCAACTTTAGGGTAGAAAAATCCGCGAGCGAGGAACCAACGTGAGCAAGTGGTTGTAGTCTTTTCTACCCTGAAGATGGAGGTCATACTTTCCTCCGAAACATCAGTTCGTACAAGATCTATACGGCGCCACATCCAAGAAGACGGCATTCTTACCTGTATCTGGTTTCTTCATTTGTTTAACATTTTCTTAATTATCTGGAACACCTATCAAGAATATAATTCTGAATGATGAATATAAAATTATGTGAAATTAGTCGCAAAGCATTTTACTACACCATCACAACATCATTGATTATTTTATTTAAGGCCGGTGTTTATAAGCTAGGTACACTGCTTATAGGATTAACACTTCCATGAATGAGAACATATACGAGGAACTTCCTCCTATTTTTTTAATGAAAACTACAACAGATATAGAAAGCATAATAACGCAGTTAAATAGAGCAAGATTTCAGCTACTTACAGTTATTTTTCCACATAATCACCACGATTCGTTATGCACTTTTGCCAGCGATGAACAAGAGTCTGTATGCCATGCCCGTAAACGTCTGCGCCAGCAGAGGCTAGCCACTTTCTTACAGTTGCAATGACAGCACCGTTGTCTGGAAAATGTTGCCACGTAGTCCATCTTTCATAGGCCCAAAGAGATGGAAGTCTGACGGTGCTAAATCGGGGCTATAAGGTGAATGTGGCAGGACAGTCCAACCAAACGTTGCAATGTGCGCGGTGGTCGCGGTGGTATGGGGTCTAGCATTATCGTGTTGCAAGCGAAAGGTTGTCTGCTTCTCTACCCTCACTCAGGAAAAGTGGGCTTTCAGCTTAGTCAGCTTCATCTTGTAGCGTTCAGAATTGACAGTCTCACCAGGCTTCAGGAAATCCAAGAAAATCGCACCCCGCCTATCCCAAAAGACCGTGCACATCACTTTCCCTGCCAATGGCTGTTTCTTGAACTTCTTTTTTCTTGGGGAATCTGGATGTCGCCACTCCAGGGACTGTCTTTTGGATTCCGGTTCATAGTGGTGACACCATGTCTCATCTTCGATGATGATGCTGTCCAGAAACTTGTCACCTTCAGCCTCAAACAGGTCCTGACAAACTTCAGTTCGATGAGTTTTGTGGTCCTGTGTAAGCATCCGCGGGACCCACCTTGAACAAACTTTGTGATAATCCAGCTTCCCCAACACCGTTTCCAATGCATTACAGCCGATATTAAGCTGTGCACACAGTTCCCTGGTTGTTATCTGCTGATCTGTACGGATGAGACGCTGTTCATTGTGAGGAGTGGCAGCGGAGCAGGGACGCCCAGGGTATGGCTTGTTGTGCACTTCACTTTTGCCACTGTTGAAATGCACTACCTACCGCCTCACTGTGCTGACATTCACTGTATTGTCTCTGTACACCTTTAGCAAGCGTCGATGGATGTCAATGGGTGCAGTTTGTTCGGCAGTGAGAAATTCAGTAACACATCTCTCTTTCATACGCACTTCTATGTCAGACACCATTTTGGTAGACTGCTCTGCTGTCGCTATCTATCGCAGGACAACCAAACTAACAGTACATTGGTGGGAATGTTCAACATTTACTACAACACCACCAACATCCATCTCAGACGTTACATATTAACACAAGAAAATAGGAGGCATTATTTACGGAACACCCTTCGTACTTAAATTGAAGAGCTCTCTTTTGGAATATGATGCTATGTACGCCATTGAAAGTCAGACATTGTTTTTGAGGAATATGTCACCTCAGTCTTTGGTCTCAAATAATAAGCCAAGCAAAAAACCAACATGAAGCAGGTAGCAAGCAGAGCATCCATTTTGGGAAACTTGGGTTTATATGGAAAACAGGGGGGAACTACTCGTAGAAGACAACCTGTAAGTTCCTGTTAGCTGCCTGACAATAAGGTGAATGACTAGGAGACAAGAGAAGGACACCTAGTATCAGCTATGGAAAGGGCCATTTGTGCAGAACCGGGAACATGAGGGACAAGTTAAGGTGTGTGGTGGGCAAAGAAGCAAGGAGATGTGAGAGAAGTCATGTGTGGGTTGTAGGCATGCAGTTCAAGAATAAAAAGAGCACGAGAAGCAGTGGCAAGCTGGGATGTGAAATGAAGGCTGAGGGCTGATGGATGCCTGGAGAGGGCAGAGCTGGTGCTCTGATGGGCAGTGCTAATGGACCAGTGTTACCTAGAGTACTCATCTAAGGAAACTTATGAGGGAGGCTTGCAAGAGTCTTTTGGGGAGCAGATGGGAGATTTCTGTGATGTACTTAGGCAGAAGCCATTCTTCCCCTTTACAAGGTGTGGCAATAAAGAAACCGGATTCATGCTCTAACCCTTTATTAAAAAAAATCAGACAGTCGAAATGTTATCCCCTTCAATGTAGTCCCCTCCCCGATCCCTACACCGCTCCATGCGAATTTTCCACTGTTGGA